TTTTACAAGAATGCGCCACAAATTATTGCAGCTAAGAGTAATTGCAGTAAGCTCTTAGTATTCCTTTGTTACATACTCTCACAGAACCTTGACTCTACTTCAGAGCACTTACCTTCATTTGCAATAACACGTTCATTGTTGCTGTTATTTGTGCATCCTCCCACTGGTGGCTCTGGGCTCCTGATTCTATTCCCAAGCCCAGCACAGTACCTCGCACATGGTTAAGTGCTCTACACCTTTTTTTTTTTTTTTTTCGTAATCTGATCAGGATTACTTGCAGGAATGAGACTGGAAAGCCAGAAGATAGGACTCTTCTGTTTTACATTTCTACTGTTAGAACTTTTATCATAGACATGTATTACTCAGTGCAAAACTATTTGAATTTTTAATTAAAATATTAAGTGTTAAATAGCCACATCTTAATTTCATCGCTCTCGAGGGGGGGAAGGTCACGTTTTACTACAGGAAATTGTATGGAAAAGGGGTCCATGATATAAAAGGAGCAGACAAGGAATGGAATGTTCCTGGGCACCGGGCTTTCCCCGAACCTCCGGCAGTGAAGGCGACCAGTCTTAACAGCCTAAGAATTTAAGAACGGGCCGGGAGGCGCCGTTAGGAGGCGCGCTAGGGGCGGCGCGGACCTTCCCGCCTCCCCGTTACATGCCCAGTAACCCCAGCGCCGGCGACCGAGAGTAACCCCAGCGCGGGCGGCCCCGCCGCGTTCAGACTCTCGCCTGCTCCCTCCTCAGCCAATGGGAAGGCAGCGAACAAGCCGGCCGGACGCCCGCCCCAGAGGGCTCCTCCCCGGAGCACTTCGAACGGAGTTGAACGGTCGCCCAGCCACCGGCTCAGACCTTTCCAGTGGCAGCTCCGGGTCCCGACGCCACGCCCCGCCCTGCCCTCCGCCTGCCCCATGTGCGTTCGCGGCAGTAGTCACCTTTGCCTTACAAACCTTCAGACCCGCCCTCTTTCTACCTTGCCGCCCTAGGCCCCGCCCTCCGCGCGGGTCGGCCAATAACAGAGTGAGCTGGCGCAGAGGGGCGGGCCTCTAGCCAATGCGCACGCCGCGGGCGGGCCCCGAGCCGGAATTAGGGGTGAAGCGATAGCGTTTTGCCCGCATTCGGGGCGCGCGTTGCTGGGGGGTCCCTGTGGGGCGCCCGGAGTTAAGATGGCGTCCTCAGCCGAAGGGGGACCAGACGGACTGTGGTGGCGCTGGGTGGGGGTTCTGCCGGCGGGTTTCCAGGAAGCTGAGCCTTAGCAAGTTGGCGACGGCCCTGGGCGCGTCAGAACAGGCGCTGCGGCTGATCATCTCCATCTTCCTGGGTAAGGACCCTCCTGCCCTCCTTCCGCCCCTCGCAGAGTCCTCGGGGACTAGGGGAGGAATGGGGACAGGACCTCCCCCTTTTCCCGGAGCCACCCGGGAGGGCTGTTTCTGGGTGCGGATGTGGACTCCTGGGGGGGAAAAGCACATCAAACAGCTACTGAGGGAAGACAGAAGTCCCTGTCTCGAGCTGTGGGGGCGCTGTGACCCTCCTAAAGCGCCTTTCCCTTTCTCTTCACCCCTGTCGTGGGGGGGCCCTCTGGCCCCTCAGTCGGGCCCCCGTCCCTCGCATGCCAGGCTCTACTCTTGCTCTCTACAGACCTGTACTTTATTTGTCGCTCTCTTGAGTTCCGCTCTCTGATCCATGTGTCCTGCTCTGGTGCTTAAGCAACCCACCCCGCACACGCGCTCATCTCATCGGTAGTCATAGGGCCCCTAACTTAGGAATTTTGGCCCTTTCAGCCTTTTCATACTTAATATTCCGAGTGTCTGTTTTGTTTATTGCCAGCTTATATTATACTTCCGTCTCTTTTCTGTCCCGTTCCTACTGTTTTCTTCTTACACCATGTTGCATTTTTATTTTCCAAGCCACCTACCTGTCATTTACCCTGGAATATCGTTTTAATGCTGGACTTGGGAAACAGGACTAACAAGCTCTTTAAAAATGATCCATGCTATTCCAAGCATTTATTACATGTGTGGTTCAAAGGATGTGGTGTATCTGAATTTATGCCACAACAAGCTGTATTATAACTGGTTTATAGGCTTTTTTTAACCGCATCCTCACTCCATGGTTTAATACACGGAGGCAGCATAGTACAATGGAA